GTGATCGACAATTTCTAACTGGTCGTTGATGAGCATGAGGACAGGTATAGCCTCTTGCCAGTCTTGTGGTATAACCTACATTTCGATTGAGAAAGTGTCATACCAAACTGCGTGACGGACAATGTTAACTTACACAGGACGTTTTGAGCGTTCTGGAAGGGGTCGCAGAGTAAANGTCGTCCGCATCTTCCAAGTCGCTGAATGCATCACCTGGGACTAGCACAACACTGCAAAAAAAATTGCAGTTTTCCAGAGTGCTGCTTAGGATTTTTTCAATTGCGAAGTTAAAGAGGAAGGGCCACCAGGTAGGCCATCTCGGCGTACTGGAAGTGGTCAAAATAAGACCTGATATGAGGTTGTAAAAACGCTGATCAGCGGAGTTTAGCCACATAAGGTTTTCTAGTTCACGACCTCGGGATCAGTGTAATCACAACCTAGATATACCACGTGATATTGCTGAGTGTCATTAACAATAGCTCTCATACATCCAGTTTATTGTATTCTGTGTATTTTCGCTGGTATCACTCCTGGCTTTCCAATTCTGCTCTCTATTTTGTCCAAATGGATAACAAACGGCTACGAACCCACGGCATCGAAGTTCACCTTGAACGGTTATATCAACTGAAATGTCTCAAAAACAAGTGCGGTGTTTGCATACCTTCAATTTATTTTCTTAATTTCTAGCAGGATGAGTACCAATCGCATTTCAATGGGACAGCACGAATTCGGACATTTCGGTTTCCCGGGATCAGCTCTATACGTTTGCTGACAATCAAGGTTGAACAAAAACAAAAGTGAATGGACATGTTCCCACGTAGTTGGTATTCTGGATAACAAAATTGCTGCCTAATTCATTCGCATGCCACTTATCACAATGGAAAATATCCGTATTTAACGAACCCAGCCCTAATGGTGTAAACCGCAGTTGTTTATTTTATCCTGCTGAAGCATACTTTATCTTTGTCCTGCTTTTTATGACAACTCATTTGTTCTGTTTGCAAGACCAGATTTGCCTCTGTGGTGCATTCTGCATCTGTCTTTCTCTCTCTCAGGATATTCCGCTGGTGCATCAAATCTATGTTTCGAATTCATGATAATACTTCTTCAGATCCGCAGCATGTCTGGGTGAAAGCTAGATGGGGTTTATATTTGGGTGAGGGAGAGATGGTTGCCTTTCAGTCAGCGTCGGTGTCGGATGTAGCTTACCGATAATATATATGAGAATAGAAACCTCTCGGTTTTATCATGCTAGTTACACACTATTGCGAATCCCAACCAGTCCGTCAGGTTGGTGCGCAATACTTTCTACTGTATGATTTGGATTTCATTAATTCATCTGATCAAATGGTGAATACCAGTCGATGAATTATGATTGCCACGAACAGTCATCAAAGGGCACTGTGTTTAACTGGTTGTCAGTTGAATCTTCACTGTTCTTATGCCTAACGTTGGCACCGTAATGACGGCGTATACGTTCTGTTTGTTCTTTATTTGTTAATTCGGAAAATATGCATCTCCCGGTGCATTGTTTCATGGTCTGATTACGCCATCATAATTTCAGTCACCACAACAAAAAAGTTACCCACACTGTTTCTTGTATTTTCAGCTGTCCGCATGTAGTTTGGGGTTCGTCCATAATGTGTGTTTTCATCACATCTCTGAGAATTAAAACAACGCTCTCGTGACAAAAACTGTTTAGTAGTGGTTGAAAATAGACATAAATACCAGACAAAAACAGTGATTTACTTTCAGATATTCACCTCTCACATTCGGTGTTCGCCGCATCTGAATTCCCCACAGTCCTCTAATCATCATCATCATCATCATCGAACAGCGAAATACAGTGAAACGAACTTCATTGATCGCTGCCAAACTCGCAGGTCCTCGTGACTATGGGGTTTACCCCGTCTGCTGTTCATCGCACCTAGGTGTGTAATAAAAAATGCATACAAGGTTAGTGGTAAAATTTAAGGTGGACAGGGATTGGACCTATTTTGAGGGAGGGAGAAGAAGAGCCACTATGGTCAACACACAGTACGCAATCGAACCCTACATACATACCGTTTCAAGCATTCTGGCCTGATAAGCAGTGATAACAAGAACGCCACTGCTGCCGGTTCGCTGCCATATCCTTCAATGTCTCCAAACAACCAGTTGTAGAGTCTTTTGGATCCATTACAGTCCACTAAATACTCTTTTGGTCCATTTTCTCCCACTTGAGGACAGTTTGGCTATATGAAGCGTGCTGGGGGTGTATTTGGACACAAATTTTTATGACGAAGGTATCTGTTGCGAAATGAAAACTCAGTACGTCTTCAGACATCGCCGCTGTTCGTGCATAATGCCAATCAGTTAGTCTGTGTTCTACGGGAGACCCGATAGTGTTGTTACATCTGCTAGCTGTATTTGCTTTTATCAGACCCTCTGTTCCTGGGGGTTAAGTGAAAAATCAAAATAATCCAACGCTAGGCCCCGAAACATGGTAACAAGCGATGTACCCAGCGCATTTTTATTCCAATTTACGCCTCCGCACATTCAATGGCAACCTGCTAACCGACTTCGTCTTTCCGGACAGGTCGGTGACCAGTTTCAGCTTGGTTCATTCACTTCCTCTAGAACTGAGTAGGGCAGATGAAACATGATACGAATGATAATAATTAATGGTCGGTCACATTTGCTATCTCACATCACAGCCTTTAGAATCTTGTGGTATTTTTTTAGTTAGTCCTAACTCACCACGACCTTGGATACTGCCGCTGTTCATCCGAGTTTACTTACTTAGCGAGGCTCAGTTTGCCCTGTTCACCTCTATCCACGAATTTGGTGGCCATTCCCCTATTCACGACCTAGTGGCGTGCTAGGTTGTATGAACACCTTATGATCGTGTGTGAAGTTTGTAACATAGTTAATTCATCCTCTGAATTGAATACAACTGGCTAAATACAGTTTGGAGAGTTTTCATTCTGTTGGTCACAACCAATGGGCACAAACAAACCGGATCACTGTTAATGGATATGACATGTTCAGTTGCATTCATTTCGATGAGTCACTTCAGTTTTTTTTCACGAAGAACTACTTTTCACTCGTCTACATGTTCGAAATACGGGGTGGTAGTAATAATAATCATAAACGTTGTTTTCATTTGTCCTCGTCAAGTCTTGTGCTGTCGACGAATCACGTGACCAACCGACTGTATGAGTTGAAGCCAGACTAGCTGCTAGACTGATGAGAACCGTGTTTATTCTTGTCAGTCTAAAATCGATGACTGTAGGGCAACTCAAAGCGCATCAGTGTGTCCGTCACACGACGTTCGCTTTATTTTGGTGGTATTCGGTCCCATTGTCACTGAAACCCTGGTGTTTCAGGGCGCCCTGTTTTATCATTTGCGTTACTGGCTATTCCGATAATACAATCGGTTTGCGTGACTAGAATTTAAATCTTAGTTGGTGTACCAAAATTGATCAGGACGCTGTTCTTTTTCATAACTCACTTAAGCGATGATCGATGGAACTTTAGGATCTCCAGGACCAACTGTTCGCTACTGGTAATCGGTAAACTATGAACTAAGATAGGGCTTGGCGAAGATTACTTATAATGTTGAGATGGGCAGCCACCAAGCGGCCCACCATGAAAAACGATTGACGGTGATGAGTTAGTAAACCATGTCTCCTGAAAACCGATGGCACAAATCGTTCCGTATTACGTAATACTCGGAGAGAGAGAAATCCCTACATTATTTCTTCCTTAAATTAATCTGAATCAGAGTGGGAGGATGTTTGCGATGACAGGTGACTGCAATGAATAACACGTACCGTTCTTTAGTAGAGCGACAAACTTTGTCGTGAAAAGCTAGTTGCGATCCATACACTGCTCTGGCAATGTCCTTCAAGCAGAGATTGACTGTTTGGTCGATGAATAGATCAAACACTTAAATACCAAATTTTCGTAGGTGATATCATAGATGATAGGCGGCTAATGGTAAACCGCAATTATACGAGACGTACCCAAACACCTGCCTTTGCCTGGGCAACCTGGCAGTATTCAGCCCACAAGCCAATCATGGAACATTTTCTTTTTTATAAAGAGTGTTGTACCATGATTTTCTTGGCACCCAGTCTGTCCTCAGACAAGTGTGAAATATAATAATAACAAACACCTGTAGTTAAGCAGACGTAGCTATGTATGCAAAAGAACAAAGAGAACGGTATTCTCGTCATTGGTAAATCTCGTGGTTACAGTTGTTCTTTAACTTCTAAAGACAACTGACAGTGAGAATAGAGAAACCTCACTGGCTGCCAGAGGCGATATGTGAGTTACACCCTTTTCAGGATTTTCGCAGAGCCCAGGATAAAATTTAACAGACCTTTTCATTGCACACCATTGTATGACGAAGGACTAAATCTGACGGCCACAATGACCTAATGTTCGCTCAGGATAACCGGCAACCTAGGTGATGACTTTTAGAGTGGTGAACCCCGTAACCCACGATTAGAATAACCGGGATACTGAGTGTGACAGAATCAGACCTAAGTATCACCAAGGGTGGTAGGAGGTGATAGGGGTTGAACCTCATGGTTCAAAGTGTGATAGTGACTGCAACAACTCGATTGCTATCACTTAAATTCCTTTATTATTCAATTTCCTCAATGAAAAGTCGACTTAACGGTTCCCCTTGAATACTACGCTTGCCCTGCGTCGTCCTTGTGTGCTTTTCCATCTTGAGTTTCCTGGCTGAAGCTGCTAATTCAAGTGACTGAACATTTCTTACTCGTAACCTTCCCTCCTATTTTGAATACGTAACAGAAATAAATAGCTGTTATTGCCAAACGGTTCGTTTTCTTTATCTGATTGATCTTTCTTCTTTTTTTCAGACCTCCAGAAGTGACTGAGGACGTTTTTGTGCTTATCTATGTATGTTTGGCTGACCCTGTGGGTACTCTGTTTGTGGACTCCTGAGCTTCTGGCGGAACTCAATACGGATGAACTGGTTCGACAATTGTATGATGTGTATCGTNACTACCCTCATCCCAAATGGTTGGCTCGAACGAGCATTGGAAATTCCCGGTTCTGCCCAAGTGATTTCATTCATCTACTGGCTTCGGCATCCGCTAATCCTGTGCTTTCTACTTCCGATATTGGTGGTGATTTTTATCTATCTAACCGTGTTATGTGTGCATCTATGTCGTTTGCGTTGGTGGCTGGCTCGACAATTTGCGGATTGCTGGTCACCTGTGCGTCCACGGGACCGATCGCATTCCATCAGTCGTGCGCATCTTGCGTCCCTGGCCCAGTTGCTCAAACGCATTGTGGCCGCGATTTGGGATGCACATGGCAGAATTTTTCATGCCTACGAAGTAATCGGTATGGAGAAATTGCCCATGCACGGACCAGCCTATATTGTCTATTATCACGGGACTTGTCCGTTTGATGCTTATTATCTGGTCTCGCGGTATTGTATCGAACGTGATCGGTAAGCCTTTTCTCGTTCGTTTTCCTTTTGATAGCGAAGTAGGAATGTGACTCTTAGGGATTGGAAAGAGTTCAAATGTAGCCGTTACTCATTAACTATGAGATCATAACCCATGGATCACAGATCGAAATGTGTTCATGATAATGCACAGCCTGTGACTGTCGGGTAGAGTCATTCTCATTAATTGTGTAA